AGCTCTCATTTATAAGTGTTTACTATGTGCCAAGCATTTTTAGAAGCAATTAAATACATATAAATTCATTAGCTATAACCCTATAAGATGCTGGAATTATTTTTCCATCTTACAGAGAAGGAAACAGAGGCACAGAGATATTAAGCAACTTGCCCACAGTTAAATAGCCGGTGAGACACTAGGGTGCTTTTTTTTTTTTTTTTTTTTAAAGAGAATTTTTTAAATATTTATTTATTTTTTTAGTTTTCGGCGGACACACATCTTTGTTTGTATGTGGTGCTGAGGATCGAACCCGGGCCGCACGCATGCCAGGCGAGCGCGCTACCACTTGAGCCACATCCCCAGCCCATAGGGTGCTTTTTTGTATACCGAGTACTCTGTAGGGTGCCCAGTGCACAGAAGGTGTACCATGAACAATGCTCTCTTCTCCTTCATAATTCAAGACACTGTTCCTTTCCACCCTTTGTGATGCAGTTGATGATTCTGATCATTTTTGAGAAGGAAAACAATTTGATTTGAGCTAAATTGCTAAGTGAAGAGGTCCCCTTCTAGAAGGTTGGTCATTCGCAGATGGTGCCAGCCATCTCCCAGCTAGTCATAGGTTTGGGGGGAACCTACTGCACTCCACCCCCAATTCCTGTGATAATAGCCATAAGACAGTTACACGTGGCTATGAGATGATTCCAACTTCACAAATATTCCACTCTTTACTTCTCCTAAAAGATTTTTTAAATTATTTTTTATTGAAGTTGACCAGCCAGGAGACAGAGACATTCCACTGATCTCCAATGAGATGCCTCAGGAAAAGAAAATTTGCTTGACTGCGATAACTTATGTTTTTCTTGATCTTGATCACATGTGATGCTATCTTAGGTACTGTGAGCCTTCAGACAGAAAAAAACATGGGCGCATCCTTTTATAAATGAAAGTTTCTACTAAACAGGACTGAAAACATCTAAACCGCTTCCTCCCTATTCCTGGATAGTTTAGAAATGGCATGTTCTAGAACTAGGTTCAACTCATTAAAGATCATGGCCTTTGTTTTTAAGTTGTAGATGGAAACAATACATTTATGCATGCATGTATGTATGTATGTATGGTGGTGCTGAGGATCGAACCCTGTGTCTCTTACATGCCAGGCAAGTGTTCTACCACTGAGCCACAACCCCAGCCCCAAGATCATGAACTTTTAGAGTTGAATGTTTTAAGTAACAACAGATCCTGCCAAAATTCATACTCCCTGTGGAGAAAGATAAAAACATCCATGAGTGTCACAGGGAGCGCTTCCTGGCTTGATCCCTGGTCACTCTGGGTGACCCCCTCCCTCCCAGATGTCTTTCCCTCTGTTGTAAGACTCAAGCTCCTCCATCTGGTGGGTGTTCTGCCTCCAGCCCTGAACTTCACACAGCCTGTCTACCCAGTCACTGAAGTCGTCTCTCCCTTATCCCTTTTCAATATAGTGAGGGTACAGCTGACATGAGAGCTAGGTCCTAAAGACAGCATGAAAGCAAAAACTGCGTCCAAATTGCCATGTTGAAGCCCTGGGGGAGCGTGATGGTGGAGAGCCACCTAGCATCCCTCCAAAAGCCCATCCCTGCCAAGGGCACTCCTTCACTGAGACAAGTGGCAGTGGCCCCACAGAGCTGTGTCAGGGAAGGAGGAACTGAGATGGGTGAAAAGAGGGACACACTCAGAACTCAAGCTGGAACACGCCTTTCATTGGTGGAGGAGATGGACCGACCCACATCATCCCTCCCCCTGGAGCGTATCTAGTTGCATTCCTGGGAAGTTAATTACCTGAGCTGGGACTCAGCTCTACTGCACTGGCTTGGAGATGCAGCCCCAAATCACAGGTGTGTCACAATCCAGCTTCTTTCTCTCACACTTTGTTCTCTTTGATTGCAGACACCTGCGGTTCCTCATGGGAGTCCTCTGCTCACCTTTTTCCTCTGCCTAGAGTACCTAAGTCCTCCTCCCTCCCTCCTCTTAATACAGCCTCCTGGAAGTCACCCAATGCTCTGCAAGGACCCAATCACCTCTCTTCTCATACGAGGTCATGCCACACTGTCCAGTCTCCCGACCCTGACCAGGCTGTGCACACCAGGGGAGTGGGCCACATATGGTTCATATCTACAGTGGTGCCCAGTACTTGCTCGAACAATGAAGGAGTATACATCTCATCCCAGGCAACAATGACTCAGAGCTAAATGATAGCTCAAGCTGCTCACCCACAGTTCAGGCTCCTAAAACACCCTCAACCAAATCCACACCCTGTTTCTGCTACAGTTTGCTGCACATTGTGCCTGGCTCTGCAGAGTGAGCGTTCCAAGTCTAGGGCCGTCCGGTGTAACTGAAACCACAGGTTTAGCTTTATATCTGCACTTATCCAATTACCAATCAACATTTCCCTGATGGCTCCTGTGGGAACAGCTCTGGGTCCAAGAGTATAATGAAAGTTTCTTAATGGAGGATCCTGCCAAAAGGCTATTTTGAGAGACCGGGAGACCTCCTGGGAAATAACTCATCCTTCAGAAAGGTTGGTCCAAGAACATTGATTTTGAGGTTCAGGAAAACTCCTCTCGTCTCCAGGGCTCATGTCTGAGTTCTAAGAAGATGGAATTGCAAGAAAGGCTGAAATGGCCCTCGAAGCTACAAGGCATCAGGAGGAGTGACAAGGTTCCCCAGGGCTCACATGCTGTAGAAGATGGCCTTGTTGGTCCCGGTCCTTTACCCTATATTCATGCCCTTTGCAGTGTGACTTTGTATCTCTCACTAAAGGGGCAGAAAATATTTTCCTGTTCCTTGACTTTGGGTATGGCCATGTGCCTTGCTATGGCCAATAGAAAAGTCTGATATAATAGTGGGGCAATTCTGCCCCTAGGCCTTAAGGGCCATTGCATGGTTTTGCTTGTCCTTGAGCAATTTCATCATGCAATGAGAATATGCCCATGCTAGGCCATTGGTTCCCCAGGGGCAAGTAAAGACACAGAGTTAAACTGGGCCACCCAAGACTGGAGTTTACCTTCCACTGAACCCAGATGCATGAACAAGTCAGTCATCATCCAGCTGAATCCAATCTCACCTGACCTGAGAATAAATGATTGCTGTCTCATGCCATGTGTTTGAGGGTGGTTTGTTATGCAGCATCTTTGGTAGCAATAGCTAGTTGATACATGTGGGGTCTGGTCCCTGGCCACCACATTAGTTATTCTGGCATTACTGATTGGATCCACAGAGTACACCTGATACTAATCACACTTCTGAAAGACCAAGTTGGGGCAGAGGTGGCAGCTTTAGTCATACGGTACTTTACTGACCATGAGCCTTGATTTTTATATCTTAATCCACAGAAAGCACAACTAAAAAAAAAGCTGGATTTGTCTACCCACTAATGGGTAGCAAGAGCAATAGGATTTTCCTTACTTAAAATTTAACCTTGGATCAAGTAAATTATTATCCCACGTCAAATTTTCTATGATCTACAATAAATTTCCAGCATTTATAGTCTGCTTTAAAGTTAAAAAAAGAATCCATGTGATTTTTGTTTATTACTCTTTCCCTAAAACACTTTTTGGAAGATCTCCTCAAAATTAAAATTAATGAGCTGATAATTTATAAAATTTCTTTAGAATTGGTTTTTCTAGTAACCCTGGAAGGCCTTTCTAAGTTAAGCAATCCCAATATCTACTTCATGAGTTTAAAGTAATTTTTTAAGATTGGCAAAGAATATGCTACTTTAAGCTGCCATTTTTTCCCCAGTGTAAAAGTGAAGTTAATGAATTAATATTTAAGTGGTTTGGAAGAGTATTTGTGTGTATGTTGCCATTGGGAGAAGGCAGTTGGGGAGATACACCTTCCTGTAAAAATTCAAAACAGAAGAAAAGGCATTTTAGCAATGATGAATAAAAGATTGTTTATTTTTGGTACCGAGAATTGAACCTAGGGGCACTCAACCACTGAGCCACATCCCCAGGCCTTTTAAAATTTATTTTGAGACAGGGTCTTGCTAAGTTTCTTAGGGCCTAATTAAGTTGCTGAGGCTGGCTTTGAACCTATGATCCTCCTAAAAGATTATTTATCATAAAAAAAAAAAAAGCAAAAATGCCCTAGTGTAGTTACTCATTCATGATGGGATATTTCTTTAATTACATCCCAATTTAACTCTCGGCAATGCGAGTAAGGGACATGTTTGGCATTTTAGAGACTAGCTAAAAGAACTGAGGACTGCTTTGAGAAATGGTAATAAATCTTACAGAGGGGTTTCTGGCCCCAAGGCTAACGACAATCTTTCAGAAGGTATTGTTCCAAAAGGAAACCATTCTTGAAATGTGGCTAAATGATTCAGGACCAGCACCTTCATCCTAAAAGAAGTCTAAAATAAAAGGTTGGCAAAGAGGAAACAGAAAGCCTCTGTACCGTTCACCTTTAGCCTAGGGGGACTTGCATACCGCAGGAGGAAACCCTGAAATAATAAAGAAGACAGTCTGCTTGGACCAGATCAGCCTGCCCCTTGACTTTACCACTGTTCTGCTACAGAAACACGACTTGCTGCTAAAGCCAGAAAGATAACACTGTTCAGTGTGTGTGTGTGTGTTTTGGGGAAACAACTTTATATAGTAAAAGGTTAAATCATGACATCATCCCAAAAGGTCCAACGTTAGCAATACCATATGGTTCAACTTAATAGAATGAGTAAACACAAAATATCCTCCCAGTGCACGAATACTCTTAAAAATTAGAAATCTAAGCTAAATTGTGAAATTGCAAATGAAATCCAAACTATCTTCCCCAAATCATAGCTATTGTTAAAAATTATAACATACTTAACAAAAACATGCGCGCGTGCGCATACACACACACACACACACAGAGTATAGGACCATAACCCACCAAAGCGGTTTACCTTTATGGTAGGGAAATCTGAACATTCAGGCTTGGGGCCTGGAATTAAGAAAAACTGAACTTCTCAGAACAATGTCATAAAAGGAACATTGACATACCTGGAGAGCAGCAGTTTACCCCGGAGCTGCAGGTCGGCAGCACAGTCCTCAGATCGGCAATTCCTTTCAAAAACAGTCTGTGAAAGAAATGATAGAAAGGTTGGAATAGGGTTTATGGGCAAAGCAGTAAGTGATGGCCTATTGCCTCTTGCAAAGCAGTAGAAATTCTTCCTTCAGGCCCTCCAAGCCTCTCCTCCCACCTCCAAGAAGCCGGCTCCCTGGCAGGGTGAGGGAAGCTTCTCGAGGTTCCACAGAAGCCTAAATCAACAGTGGTCTTGATTCATGAGTGCATTCCTTACTTGATTCATTTCTCAGTCTCCTGAAGCACTTCTTCAGGAAGCATACGTGACTGGTGTCCTTTCGTCTATGCTTTTCTGACAAAAACCTTTTAGATGCTCTTGGACATGCATGAATAATCATTCCATGAAGTAAGTAATTCTTAGATTACAGTCAGGTCATTTTCCCCATTTGTTCTCTTGGGGAAGAGAAAAATCTGCATTGGAGAAAGGCTCGGCATAAGCAACGGGACCATATTAAATGGTTAGGTCCAAAGGGAAATGTCAAAGGCAATCAGGCCATTAGACAGAGGGCAGCATAATGGGACAGAAGAGATGCTTTCCAGTTTCTGGGGGAAGCAGCTAGTGGTTAGCAGGGAATAGTGGCTTTTCTCTAACCGAGACTAGGCCTCCATAGTCAAAGCCCCACCCAGTGCTGGGGCCTGAGGCTCTGTGGTTAAAACCAACATTACTTGCAGAGAGCTTGCCCAAATGTGTAAGGAAGCTTCATGGAGGGTGGCCAGGGAATCAGGAACAGCACTTTGTTGTAAGGGATAGAGTTTTCTTCTCTCTGCAGCACATGGATAGCTTGTTAGTATGTCCCTCCATCTGATCTCAACCTCTCTGAGGTTTCTGATGTAGAGACAGCAGTCTCCCTATGCTTCGGACGATCTTCACTATCGTTAAGATGGCTTTGATCATCTCAGTGGGGTTTGGAGAGAAGAACCTGATGCCCTTGTTTGTTGTTGTGATTTATTTACCATTAAACTTCATTGTCACTCCTCATGGCTGCGAGGGCTTTTTTTTTTCCTCCCCAATAGCAGAGTTTGGGGTAATAGCCCATAGCAGAAGCGTAGGTGGCTTCTCAGAGTGCCAGCGTGGACTCCAACAAACTTGCTGGCCAATGGATAGTCTAGACTCAACCAGACAGGGTAATTTTGCCTATGGAAATTCATATTCCTGTGCCACGTTTCCAAAAGAATAGAGTGTCCCAGCCAACATTCCCTTCCTTGATTATAGGAGGAAAAATCATGGAATTCTTGGGCAATATGAGGAAATTCCTATGTTCTTTTGGACACTAACGGGGGCAAGGAAAGAGCCAGATCTCCAGGAGACTTCAGAGTAAGACTTTTGTGCTTGCTTTGCAATCTCGACCAGGCTCAAAGCAGGAGGAAGAGGGCTTAGGAGCTGCAACATGCCAGGCAAAAGATGCTTTGTGAGCCTAGAACTAACAAAGAAGCACCAAGGGTGGCCTCCCCACCAACCGGATCCAACTTACACTTGAAGGTCCCCTGACACAGCCCCTGCATGGCCTTGAACCTAACTTTGTATTCCCAAATCTACATTTTTTTCCTTCAAGCCCTTCCCTCCCCCTCAACTGTATAGACTTTGGGCCCCACAAAACCCAGATGTACCCCTGGGTTAGCCTCTTCCACACACGTGCCTCCCATCACAGAGGCTGGTCACCGTCTGACCCCTAGGCTTTGGAGGTGGGATGGAGGGGCATGATGGGTGGGGTAGGAAGCAGGTGAAAACTGAAAAGGAAGGTGTCACCTAAACCCATCCTGTGACATATTGGCTTCGAGTTCCGGGCCCTGCCCTCCCGGCTCTCGTGCCAGCTGTGCCCTGGACTGGCCTTGCAATTTCCTCACTACATATAAGTGAGCACCACTGGGGCCTCCTGGGTGATAGTGACGAGAAAGGACAATGGAGATGAAGAGCAGGTGTGACTATGTCTCTACAGGTGACTGTGCTTTCCACGTCCAAAAATGACACTTCCAGTGAGACTTTGACAACCCCATCACGGAGAGGCAGAATCTAGCGCTTCCTTCCCTGCCATGGGGAGGATCTGTGGTTACAGTGGAAATAACGTTATGTGACTTCCAAGGCTCAGCCATGAAAAGCAACAGCTTTCACCTCTTTTGCTTGGGGCTTGGCCACTCTGCGCAGAGGAAAGCCCAGCTGGCCCCAGAGAGGCTCATATGGAGAGAATAGGCAATCCCCTCAGCTCGGAGGCTGAGTGAGCCATCAAGGAAGTGGGACTCTCAGGGGTCCCCACGGACAGGTACCTGGTGGAGCAAAGATGAGGTGTTCTGACCAAGTCCTACCAAATTACCAATTCACAATTTTCCCTTTTTTTTTTTTTTTTTTTTGCTGTTAAGCAATTTCTTGCTCATTCCCTTGTGCTTAGGAAATTTGTTAAGATTTGTTTTGTGACCCAACACGTGTTCTACCCTGAAAGTGTTCCTTGGGCACTTGGAAAAACCTGTATTCTGTCGGGGCAAAGTGTTATGTGTGTCCATTAGGTTGTCTGATCGACAAACGTTGTTCCAATCTGCTCTGCCTTTATTGATTTTCTGACTGGATGCTCTATTCGTTGTTGAAAGTGAGGCACTGAAATCTATTACTGTACCGCTGTCAAGTTCTCCTTTCAGATCTGTCAATATTTGCTTCAGATATGCAAGTATTCTGATGTTGGGTGCATACATATTGATAACCGTTGTATCTCCTTGTTGACCCTTTAATCCCTTCTTTGTGTCTGGAGAAGCTTTTAACTGCGAGTCCACTTTGATGTGAGTAGAAGCTGCTCCTGCTTTCTCTGGTTTATCGTTGCCTGGACTCTTCTCCCATTCCTCTGTACATCCCTGAATCTAAAGTGAGTGAGCCTCTTGTAGACAGCACACATTGGACGTGTGTGTGTGTGTGTGTGTGTGTGTGTTTAATCCATTCAGTCACCATGTAGCCTTTTATTGAGGAGTTTAGCCAATTTACATTTAAAGTAAGTATGAATATGGAAGGGTTTTCTAAGCTGGGCATGGTGGTGCATGCCTATAATCCCAGTGACTCAAGAGGCTGAGGCAAGAGGATTACAAGTTTGAGGCCAGCCTTAGCAACACAGTGAGACTGTGTCTCAAAATAAAAAGGACGGGAGATATGGCTCAGTGGTAAAGCAGGCTTAGGTTCAATCTCTAATACAAAAAAAAAAAAAAAAAAAAAAAAGAAGGAATTCCTGTCATTTTGATAGTTTTTTTTCCTATATGCCTTATAGTTCTTGTGGCACCTTTTTCTCACTGTTTTCTTCCGTGTAATCCCCCACCTTTTTTTTGGTAAATTCTATGCATATTTGTAGTTTCCAATGGGCTTACATAAAATATCTTCTGTAATAAGGTCTCTACTGACAGTCTATTAGATGCTGAGAGCTTCACCTACACAAAGGAACTCTGAGTTTCCCTTTACTTCCCCCCTACATCATATGCTGTTGATGCCCCAATTTACCACAACCAGCACAATTTATAGTTCCTTTTATCTTTTAACTGCTACCATAGAATTATAGGTGATGGTCTCACCCCTTCTACAGTGGTATGATATTATGTTTCTGTCTATATCTACCTTTGCCAACAAGTTTCCCATCTCCTCATTTCTCTTATTGCTGGCTTAGAGTCCTTTCATTTCAACTTGAACCCCCTTAAGTGTTTCTGGTGAAGTATGCCTAGGGGCAAAAGAAGTCTGTACTGCGCCCTCACTACTGAAGGGCAGGTTTTCTAGATAAGTATTCTGGGCAAGCATTTTCTTTCCTTCAACTTTGAGTATGTCATTCCACGCCTTTCTGTTCTGCAAGGTTTCTGCTGGAAAAGCCACACTGTGGAAATGCAAATCAAAACCACCCTGCCATAGGATGGCTATTGTCAGAGAAGAGGTCGCCAGGGTCGGGTGAGGGTGTGGAGAAAAGGGAGCCCTTATGTGTGACTGACAGAACATGAATTGGTACAGCTGAGATGAAAACTGATATGAAAGTTCCTCAAAACATTGAAAATAGAGCTGCCATATGATCCGGCAAGCCTAAAGGAAACGAAATCAGCACCTTTTAGGGATATCTGCACTCCCAGGTTTATTATAACACCATTCACCCTTGATAACATAGGAAGCAACCCATCTGTCAACAGGTAAATGGATGAAGTTTTCATAAGTACAAATGCTCCTCCACTCCTAAGGTGGCCAAAACCTGAAATCCACTCTTAAGTTGAAAATATCTTAAGTAAAAAATGCATTTCATACACCTAACCTGCCAAATATCATAGCTCAGCCTCACCTACCTTAAACACGCCCACAACACTTACATTAGTCTCCAGTTAGACAAAAATCATCTAACATGAAGCCTACTATATAATGAAGTGTTGAACATCTTAAGTAACTTACTGAATACTATACTGAAAGTGGAGGAAAAAAACAGAATGGTTATGTGGGCACACTTTCATGCCATCATAAAGAAGAAAAAGCATAAGTCTAACCATCGTAAGTGGAGGAATGCATATCTGTCGTGGAATATTATTCAGTCTTAAAAAGGAGATCCTGAGCTGGGGTTGTAGCTCAGAGGTGGAGCGCTTGCCTAGCATGTGTGAAGCACTGGGTTCAATCCTCAGCACCATATAAAAATAAAGTCATTGTGTCCACCTATAACTAAAAAATGAATATCAAAAAAAAAGGAGATCCTGCCATTTTAGACAATATGAAGAGAACTGCAGGATATTATGCAAAGTGAAATAAGCCAGACACAGAAAGAAAAGTACTGCATGTTCTCACTTATGTGTGGACTCTAAAAGAGCTCAAGAAGCAGAAACAGAGAAAACAATTTTGTTGGTTACCAAGGGTGAGGGATGAGGGAAGGGAATGGGGTGATGTTGGTCAAAGGTACATAGTTATATTGGATAAGTCTAAAGACTTATTCTGAGGTACAGAATGACCATTCTAGTTAATAACACTGTCTTGTATACTGGAAACTTACCAAGAGAGTAGATTCCAAG